TTTTTTCACATTTGCTTTTATGCTTTTAGAAAATCTGCTTTGTCTATTGCAAAACTATACAAACTATTCCACTCCTCTCATCCTAGTTTTATAAGCTAAGTCATATATTTTTATTTTTATACTAATTTTAGAACCATTAGATTCTAAAGCCTCCACTCCTTCAACCTGTAAAACCTTCATTTAGTGAAGTCACATTACAGATCTTATTTCAACTAATTGCTAAAGACATCAAGACGATAAATTTTAGTCATGAATAATGGTGAGGTAAGGGGAAAGAGAGTACTGATAGTTCTGGAAATATAGCACACGACTAAAGGAAAATCTCTGCCACCAAGGAACTTATATTCAACAACAGTAAGGGGAGGTGAATGATGGCCGACAGCGGCTAATTCATGCAGGGTAGTAAGGCAAGGCGCTATACTTCAGGGCTACATTTGAACAAAACATCAGTAAAAGGGGGAAAGTGAAGTCATCTGGGTAGAGGTGCCCCAAAGAGAACATCAAGTACAAAAGTCCAGTGGCAGGAGAACTTAAGTTTTACAGGTGTGTTTCTCAACTAGAATGTGTCTAGGAATCCACTAGAGGGCTTGTTAAAACAGATCCCTGGGTCCTACCCCCAATTTGGCAGTGGAAGTAGGAACAGAATTTGTAATTCTATCAAGTTGCCAGGTTATCCTGCTAACCAGTGGATATACACTCTGAACAGTATGGTTGTATGAACAGCAAAGAGGCCAACAGACACATGGAAAGTGGAGGATGACATGAGGTGGCAGGTGAGGGATCAGGCAAGGCCTTACAGTAGGCTATTCTGACAGTTAAAAGCAGGCAGGATTCTGTGTTTAACAAGATAGACGTCAACAGGTCTTACTGAGTGATGCAGGGCATATAATAATAATTAAAACATGACATTTTGGCATGCCACAGAACTGCTACACACTGTGATGGTAGCAAATTGTGAGGTTTCAAGGAGAAAATCAGGAGTTTGAATATGTCAGGTTTGAAGTAACAATGAGATATCCAAATTGAAAAACAGGCTGGATTGGAGGTCTAGGTTGGAGTCATCTGCTCCTAGATACCTGTAAGTACTAAGACTGGGATAAGAGATGATGATTATTAAGCCAAAAACTGAGGCAAAGTATCATAATGATTGTAATCCAGGGGTAGAGAACATGTGGCAAAATGGTAATAGTGAACTGTAGGTGAAAGATATGCAGGTGTTTTACTGCTGTAGTCCTCTGACTTTTCTAAATAGAAATTAGATCTATGGTGCCAACTGAAAATCTTAAAAAATAAACACTTCAATATTTGAACACTTACCATGTACCATTACCTTTATATATATTTTTAAAAGCTTTTATTCATTTTTAGAGAAAAAGGGAGAAAGAGAGGGAAGAAACATCGACCGACTGCGTCTCACTTGCAGCCAGACCAGGGACCAAACCCACAACCCAAGCAAGTCCTCTGACTGGGGAAATCAACCAGCGACTTTGAGGGACAACGCCCAAACAACTGAGCCACACCAGTCAGGGTCCATTACCTTAAAAAAAGTTCTCTCCTAATTTTTAAAAACTAGGAGAGAAATTAGAGACAGCAATATTGGAGAACTGACATTAAAGTCCAGAACAGGTGCCTGCCTGGGAATCAGATCAAGTTTCCTAATCTTAGCTTAGTTCTCACTATTAATGGGATCTAGTCTATGAGCTTCAGGTTCCCCCCTCCCCCAATTAGTAAAGGATTTAATACCTACTTTGCAGGGCTGTGAAGCTGCCTTATTGCTCAATTTTGTTTACTACACAAAAGCAAACTGGGCATAAGCTCCATTTCCTCTAAAAAAAATCAACACCCCATTTCCTAGATTTTACAATCTATTCAAATTTGACTGTTGACTGATCGATCATCTTACTAACAGCTTTTGAGAAAGAATTTTAAATGTACACATAGAATAGAATGACTGTTAAAGACACCTTGATTTCATGCAAATTTTAAGTGTTATTAGAATACTCAAGTCACAGTATTTGCTTTAAGACTGGTTTCCAGCACATCTAAAATCTATTTCTGTAAACAAGTAATCACATAGGACAACAAGGCTTTAAATTCAGTTTCCTTTCTCGGTCATGCCCAAGACTACTCACCTTGCTGGGGTGAATGCCCACATGAACAGTTGTACCATTAGCTTTCTCCCGCTGCACTCGTTCAATGTAGATGACGTATTTCTTCCTGTAAACCTGGACCACTTTGCCAATTTGCTGCCCTTTGTAATGTCCTCGCACAACCTAAATGCAAATTAAAAAGTAACAGAAATATGTAGATAAAAAGATTAACCTTATAAACCAGGAAAACTAAGAACGAATCTTGTTAAACATCATTCACTATCAGATCTACAGACCTTTCAATTTTTTAAGACTTAGTTGTTAATGAAAATGGGCCAATAATTCAATTTCTGGCTTTAATTAATCTGCAAATAAACCAGGCCCCCAAAGAAATCTATAGTGTACCCTTGTACCTTCTGGTTCCCCAAAAGTGGTGGACTAGTTAAAAGCAAGTGGAAAACAAGGAAATTGTTACACCATCTCAAAGGGAGCAACAGCCCGCAGGTATTTAATCTACAACCCATTAAAATGTCTAACCTAGTGTCAAAAAGTGGGCAGTAGCAAATACTGAAGGAAACACACTACTTCTCTCCCGAAGGTGACTAATAGTTTTCTACTCAGGAATCCCAGTGATTGCTAGCTTGTGAGGAGGCAACCGAAAATGCTTCTGGACAGATATTTCTTTCCAGTTGTAGATTGTCTTACACTTACATTAAGAAATCGAGCACATTAGACTGCCTCCCAAATCTAATAGCAATTTTAGCACTAGCAGAGCAGCAACCAATGGCTGTGTTCAAACCATACCACTATTTGGGAATGGGTTCATTTACTTAGATGGACAGTAGCCTCATGAAATATTATTGGTGATATGCAAGCCACTTTAGAGATTGCTTGAACCCTTGCTTCAGGTTATAGCTAAGAAACCTTTTTAGAAATTTTCACTTATATAGATTTGAAAAATTGTTTTCAAGTAAACTCAAGCAATCACATGAAACCCTATTTGCTAGAATTTCTGTATCTGGATTTTAAAAAATTATTAAATTTATTGGGGTGACATGTATTTGGATTTTGATTCAAGAGTCTGTTTAATGGTCCTCAACTGCCTCGTCAATGACCAAACATACCTAGAGAAAGATAAACCCCAAGTAATGTTCTGGTTCTGAACTCTCCTTGTTCTATTTAATTTTGGCTGCTTCTGAGGCTTGAGACAATTGATTTTCACCTTCCTCAAGAGTAAAAACAGAAAAGCAGCATACTTTTCCCTGTTTTTTAGTTCCTGGCTCAACTCCTTTTTAATCCTGTTCTGGGAGCAACTGCCTCAGATATAGCACTCTCAGAATGCAATCCCTTTTCTATGCCAAGTGTGCAGAATATTTACCAAAATGACCTGTACACCACACGTACCTGAACTTCATCATCCTTTCGGATGGGCATGGACCGAACATTGTACTTCTGTCTCAGCTCTTTGGAAAGAGGAGAAGACATAATCTTCCTGCGAATGTGGGAAGGTGCATTGAAATGCCTTTTACGGTTCTTGCTCCGGTCGGATGTCACAAAGGGATTGAACTTCATTTTGACTAAATAAAAAGTTAAAGGAGTAAACGACCAAACTCCCTTTTCAAACAAGTAACAGCAACAATTTCATCTTGAAAGTTTAAAATGCTCACAGAAACTGTCGTGTTCTTTAACTCCATCAAAAACTACTTTAACTCAATGGCTTATCAATTGAAGTTGTAAATTCTAAATATTTTGCTTTACTGGGGTACTTTCAACATCTATGTAATAAAATATTTTCCATTAGTAACACAATTGTTTTAGTTACTAGGTTTGTTTACACTCTCCAAACTCGTAGGACAAAGGAGACCGACAACCTATTCTTCACAACTCAGTTCTTCAAATGTAACATCACGTTTTAGAGACCAACCAACGTTACCCTAATACGGACTTGAGTGTGACCATACTTAGGCCTCTCCAAAATGAATCAGGTCGCCCACTCCGAACCTGAGAAGTGCTGTACAGATCCCAGGTCCAAACAACTTCCAATGGGCGAGCGCGGTTTGGAAGGTCCGTGGCTTTACCAAAAGCTTATTCTTTAGCAGCTACACTGCCCAGCCATAACTCCACATCCATAGAACCCCTCCCCTCCATCTCCCATTTCCGAATCCCAAAATCCTTTTCCCTTCACCAGCCCGACAGGTAGTGGGGAAACAAGTCAAGGTCATCCTGGCCTGTCTTCCTGGCCGCTACTCGGCCGCTGGAAGAGTAAAGGAAACCCCGACATCGAGTGCCACCGTGCCAGTGAACGGATGGCTGCGGATTACACGCGCTTCCCCAGTAAATACTCACCCGTTGGCGCCTCAGCGATGGCCGCAAAAGTGAAGAGACCCAGACGCCACTTCCGGTTGCGTAAATTTACTAGAGCTCTCGCGAGATCGAGTTCCCGAGCCAGAGAGGCTCGAAGTTTGAATGGGAAAAGGAAACTGAGAAAGAAATTGACTAGTGTCACCTCACGGTTAGGAGCGGAACTGCAAAGAACTGCAAAACTCCCTTCTCCGGTCCTAGTTCCTTTCTTCGGAGCTCTGGGTTCTGCATCTGCGTCCTCTGGGAAGGGTCATTCACGGGCAAGTGGCGGGGACTGCTTAGGATCTGACTGCCGCGGCGGCTAGTGAGAAAACGAGCGGCCCCAGGCGACCCTGTACCTTCACTCCTGAGCGTCCGGGAGCGGGCACTCCATTATTCCGGAAAGGGCAGGTCCTCTATTAGACCGCCAGGGGACGCTGGTACTCTAGCCAGCCAGTTCTTTCGGTTATCTAGACACCCCCTATCCCCGCCCTCGCCCCTGGCGGGGGTGTGTCGAGTGCGATGCTACTTTAACAAGCTCCGATTCCGCGTCGCCTGCCGCCTGCCGCCCACACACTACGGCGTCTGCTGAATGTGCCTCTCTGTTTGTCGGAGATTTCGTTCTGATGGGCGAGAGGCCATTGGAGGATCGGAGCTACAGGTCGGTCCCCTCTCCCCGCTCAAGTGGGTCAGAACCAGCGTTTCCAACAAGCTCCCAGGTGATGCCAAAGGTGCTGGTCCACACTTTGAAGGAGCCGGCGTGAGGAAGCCTTTCCATGAGGAGAGCTGTGCCCTTATTTTTGCATCTCACCGCCTGCCATCTTCCGGTTCAGGGTCTGATGGAAGCCGGGCCGAGGGCGGGGTGGGCGCGCTCCTAGAGGCAAGTGGATTGCAGTGCGGATTGAACTTCACAAGCGCCGCTTGTGAAGTTCACAAGTATGACAGGTGTCACACTGAGGCAAGAAAACTTTCATATTACCTAAGACGTAGCGAACTTTCTGAGTGCTAGGGACATTCTTCTACTCACTTTACATATTTAGATTCTTTAATCCACTAAATAGCCTAATGATGCTGGTATTATCCCCATTTTACAGTTGGGGACACTGAGTCACAGAGAAGTGAGAGGAACTTCAGCAAAGATATACAGACCCATAGGTTATAGATAAACCTATGCAGGCTGGCCTCTTAGCCCCTTCTGGTACCTCTGTATATGGTCCCAATTTGTGGGGAACCCATTAAATCAAGTTAAAGAATGAGAAACCATACCCTTGAGAGCCCAGAGTGAAGTCGGTAAAGACCATGTGTTTTCATGATTTAAAATAGTCACAGGTTTTATTTGTATTTCAAAAATTCAGTGAGAATGCCTCTGCAATTTGTTTTCAACAAATGTTTATGGATCATCTTTCATGAGCCCCCGCTGAACTGGACACTGGAGCTACACAATGAATTTAGTTTCTGCTTGCAGCAAGCTCATTGTCTAAGATCAGAGATAAACAACAAAATCAACAAGCACAGGGTTCCAGGAAAAGCGCTGGCTAAGCCTGGCTGCCCTTGTTGCTTCAGGAGCAGAAGAGTGCTCTGAGGTCAGGGATGAGGTCACCCCTGACTGAGTTTGGAAGGATGTAAAATTAGCTCCAGGAGGCAGTGGGAATAGCCTGAGGGAAGGCATGGAGGTGTGCAGCAGCATGACGCATTATCTTCAGGAGCCAGGTCCTTATGGCTGGAGTGAGAGGCATTCAGAGACGCCTACAAGGCTCAGGGTTGAGCTGAGTTTAACTTGTACGCATAGAGCCAGAGGGAGCTGATGAAGGCTCCTACTGTCCTACCTTGGCTTCCTTTCTGGTTCTCTTCTTACTGTCCTGTCTAGTTTTCCTTAACCTTTTCGTCATCAGGTCTCCCCGTCATCTTCCTCTCTTCTCACAGGACTTCATGTTTCTTTAGCATCCCCATTATTTCTGCTGTCACCATTTTTCAGTCTTCCTTATCGCCTCCCTTCATCCATCACTGAGTCATCAAAATCAAACCTTCAAATCAAAATCAAACACTGAGGTCATGCTGTCCTCACCATTTGGACAGCAGGACCACTTTATACAGTGTTAAGATTACTGGGGTACAAATTGTATACAGAGATGCATATCCCTGGTAGCCTAGTTATAGAATCTGTTTATCTTTACAAGTGTCTGTTTTGTATTTAGCTCTATCCTGCACCATCCTCTGGCCACCTAGCCCGGCTGCCCTCTCTTTCCCTCTTCCTTACACTCCTTTTACATAATTTGAATAAAAAGGTCCTTTAAACTGGCTTTTTTGGGTCATTTTGAAGCTGATCTTACCCTGACCAGGTGGCTCAGTTGGTCGGGCATCTCCCTGCAAAGTGAAAGGTCACCAGTTTGATTCCCAGTCAGGGCAGATGCCTGGTTTTGTTATGGGTTTGGTCCCTGGTCAGAACACATAGGAGAACTAATTAATCGATATTTCTCTCCTCTTTCTCCCTCCCTTCTCCTCTCTTTAAACATAAATAAAGTAAAAAAAAAAAAGAAGCTGGTCTTTGTAAAGTTACAAGACACACCAAAGCAGGAATTATCCAGATTTCATGCCTACATTCTTGGACTAAACTTTTTTTCTAGACACCAAACCATCACATTTATTTGTTCATTTATTTACTCATGCATTCTTCAAATATTTATCCAGCTTTCATTCTTTTTGTGTGTATGTAGGAGAATAAAGTTTTTATTCACTCTCCAAGAAAGGAGAGGGACTTGGTGTGGAGAGATACACCAGCCCCAGCTTTTATTCTTCACTAAATTTTATGCCAAGCATTGGGTATGATCTTACCAAGACCAGAAGGATCTAGCCTCTCATCAGGGAGCACATTGTCTAGGAGGTGACGGACTTGTCAACAAGTACACATGATTAAGTGTCTTGGGAAGATGGTGGGATGAGGTCAATTTTTTTAAAGATTTTATTTATTTTTAGAGTTGGGAAGGGAGGGAGAGAAACATGGATGTGTGAGAGACATTGAATGGTTGCCTCTCTCACCCCTAACTGGGGACCTGGCCTACAAACCAGACATGTGCTCTGATCTAGGAATTGAACCAGCGACCCTTCAATTTGTGGGACAATGCCCAACCCACGGAGCTTCACCATTCAGGGCTGGGATGAGGTCAAGTCTAACTGAGCTAGGGGGTTGGGAAGTCTTCATAGATAATCCTAGAACTGTTTTTGGAAAGGTAGGTAAGAGCTGTCCAAGTAGACCAGGGGGAAAGTGCATTCAGGCACAGGGAGCTACTCAAGCAAGGCCCAGAGGCCTGCACCAGCACTGCTTGCTGGAACTGCAAATAGTTTTACCAGATTTTGCTCTGTATAATGCACTCCCAAGTACAGTGCACATTCATGGTTTTGGCCCAAACTTTCAGGAAAAAAATCTTTTGTTTTAATTCAATTATTTATTTCTATTTAGAAACAAAACTGATTACTGTATTCCAGGGTATTATTTTGCATATGGATATAGTTATTGCTTTTTGGAGTTATATATATATTTTTAAAGATTTTATTTATTTTTAGAGAGGGGAAGGGAGGGAGCAACATCACTGTGGCAGCCTCTCACGTGCCCCCTACCGGGGACCTGGCCCACACAACCCAGTCATATGCTATGACTGGGAGTTGAACCTGCGACCCTTCGGTTCATAAGCCAGCATTCAATCCACTGAGCCATACCAGCCTGGGCTAGAGTTACACTTTTAACACATAAGCATAAATTAAAAAATTAAAAACATTTATATAGATACAGAATTAGTACTACCCATGTGTAATGCACATCCTTATTTTTCTCTTAAAAATTTTGGCAAAATGCTCAATATACACAGCAAAATATGGTAGTTGCATTCATTTGTATTGGTTAGAGGAGGATAAAGGAAAGGGAGGAATTGTGAGGATGGGGCAAGTTTGTTTATTTTGTACCAGAAAAGGACATTTGGACTGACAAGTTGGTGAAAGGAAGAAGTGAAAATAGTAGCAGCACTGTCTATGTCATCTGCAGGCTTCGCTAAGGGGAGAGGTCACAAGACTGTATCTGAGGGCCCAGAGGTCTCTCATGTGCTTGCCCAGGCTCCTGGCAACCCTGGCCCAAGGCCTGCCAGCAATGTGTGGATCGGCAGACCTGGACTGTGCAAGTATGCACATATATTAAAGGTAAAGTTTATTGTGATATGTTAAATAAAATTTTTTAACTTCCACAGCTGAAGGTTGTTGTTTTTTTTTTAAATTGAGCCATTGCTAGTGGGAAAGCCAGCATATCCACAATTGTGGAGCTGATGTGTTGTTTAAATATCAGGTAGAGGGGAGAAGGGGGGAAGTTGTTCTGAAAGAATTTATGTTAGCTACAGATAAGGTGGGTGGGATAAGGTGAAATGGGGGCAGCAGTTGGAAAAGTTCATGTGTCAGCAAGGAGTGGAGGCTCCGGGGGGGCAGCAGTGCCTGGTGCAAATAGCCACCTGGGAGTCAATCCCAGCACGCACTGGGGAACAGAAGCAGCCTTCCGTTGCTTTGCCCTGACACTGGTTAACCCCTTCTTCTCTCCACCCTCCACTCTGCTGTAATTTCATTTAGGATGTCTAAGAATTTTCTTCTTGTCGGATGGGAGGTGGCCATGGTGTTTGGGTGAGAGAAGAGGAAGAGTTTACACTTAACAGCAGGCTCCCACCCATCTGTCTGTGTATCTGTTTAATTGCATATTCCTGTAGTACCCGACCCCAGGATGGTTGCTTAAAGCAAAAGGTTTTATTTGAAAAAGGGAAGGAAGGGTAGAGAAGAATGAAAATAAGCATATTAAATGATAGGGCCTGAGAAAGCCACATGAACACCGAGAGTATTAAACTTTTTGCCTTCCTTCCTGCAGTGCATGTTAAGCATCAGGTGTCACACCTCTAACCAGACAAACCAGCCCCGCGGAGCCAGCAGCTGACACTGGAGCCAAAGGACAAGCCATCCGGCAGCTCTTGAGTCTTCTCTGGGCCACTCCTCACCAGACAATAGGAGTGTACACTGAAGAGATCTTTAGCTTCTAATGTAATTTTTCAGTTTAATTTTTAAGTAATATGTTTACTGGGCTCAAAAATCAGAAAATGTTAAAGGTAAAGGGAAAATTCCCCCTCTCATTTCATCATTTTCTCATTCCCTTCCACCATTGCTCATTATTACTAGTTTTTTCAGAGTATTTTCCCTATTTCTTTATGTATACGTAAGCCCATAGGAAAGTAAACTCTTATTTCCCCACTTTCTACACAAATTGAAGTACCTGATTTGATACCAGTGTTCCACGCCTGCTTTTTCCCATCAGCCACTGTATCCTGGAGACTTACGGTGTCAGCTGATAGACTCCTTCCTTGTTCTTTTTACAGGGACACAATAGTCCCTGCACCTTCAGTTTTACAACTAGTCCCCACCGACTGGCACGTAGGTTTCCCCAGTCCTTTGTTATTAGGAACCACACTGCGGTTACATAACAGTTTGATAAGTCAGTGCCCACAGATGCAAGCTTATCTGTAGAATGCATTTCTAGGACAGAAACTGCTGAGTGGAAGTGGAAATTTTGATAAATAATGTCAAATTAGCCTTCCCAGCGGTTTTACCAATGTATATCCCCATGACCTCACCTGCCTCCCCTCAGCTCTGTCAGCAGAGTGGGTTTCGAAACTTTCAGGGTTTGACAAACTCATAGGTGAAAAATTAGTTTTTTAAAAATCTAATAGGTATGCCAGCAGAATTTTAATTCGCATTTCCTTCACAAGTGTGGCTCAGTAAAGGTTTAAGAGCCGTTCGTATTCCTATCTTCAAGTCGTCTTCCCCAGCTAAAGTGAATTGTCTTCAAAGTCCAAGCCCAGAGCTCCCCACCTGCATTTGCAATGTCTCTGGAATCTTTGAGAAAATAGATGCCTTTATTTAAAAAATAGTTTTTGACATTCTTTGAAAATAAAAGAAGTGCCATCTACAAGTCACTGCTGAATAATACGAAAACACTATAGGTATGTTGAAATTAATTTTTGACAAACAACAGAATCTGAAAAGACTAAAATCAGGTCCCCAGAAATTCATGGCACTCACTGTTTAAAGCAGCCTGGCTGAGGTTAAAACAGACTCATGAGAGTCTTTGTAAAGTTAACATTTTTATTCCAATTATAAATATTTCCCCCTTGAATCCACCTGTATCCCCCTAAATAGCAGTTATGCTCTTCTCTAGTCTTAAAAAGAGCATAAAGAGATCCACTCGTGCTTTAAACCCAGCCTCCCCGTGTCCCGAATAGTTCCTGCAGCGTGGACCCCAATCCCCAGTGGCTCCCAAACGACAACCTGTTCAGGAGTTTGGGAACTAGACAGGAGGCGGAGTGCTATTTCTTTCCCCATGGGTAGCATGAGAGGTACAGGTTGCGAAGGGCTCGGCTGTTGGCTCACCTGGACTGCTAACAACCACCTATTTGAAGGAATAGCTGGAGGGGTTTTTTGTTTGTTTTTAACCCTAAAGTTAATTTAAGATGATGACCCACCGATTTAGGGTCCTTAGTAAACATCAAATAGTTGTTCCTGAATGACTTGCTTCCACTGGTCCTCATCAAGTGCCCTCAGCACAGTCCAGGGTGGGGTCCCTGGGTGAGGAGACCTTGCCCAGTGTATGACAGCACCTGGGTTTCGGGGTTCGTGGAGACGGTAGTCTCCCTGACAAGCACAGCTGTTTTCTTCCCCACCCTTCCTTACCCAGCCCCGCCTGAGAAGCCACCTCAGAAACTGGCCCAGCTGGTGTGGCCTCTAATAAGTGGTTGGGTCATGAGGAGGAGGACTGGGGCTGGGAGAGAGGTGGGAGCCCCTAGGGGTTAATTTGCCCACATAGTTCTCAGCTGATTCAAGTGGCGACCATTAGGCTTCTCCTGGACTCCCCGCCTTCCAATCCAGCCTTGACAAGCCAAGATTCACAATTTGGACCATCCCTTGAGCCTGGGAGGCTTGGGGAGAACTCTGGCTGTGTTTGTGGGTTATTCTGCTGGCTTCAGCCTCTGTCAACATACTTCTGTAGCCTGAAGTGGCCTCAGCTCCCCGGAAATACCCTTTTCTATTACTTCCTCCGGAAGTCCGGGGACCACAGCTCTGAGATCAGCAACTTCTTTGAGGAAGTACCCCTTCCAGACTGGCACTTTGGGGGCGGGGAGGATTTGGGGGCAGGAAGGACTTAGGGGTGGGAGGGTGCACAGTGGCCCAGCTGTGAGGGTCATGGATGGGTGCTGAGATTCTGGGAAACACGTGCTTTTGGCCCTGTGCCACCCCTTCTGTTTGTGAGGACAAACTAGAGAATCCCGGGTGGGCATTCTGACCCGGAGGAGTCCCGCCGTTGGTCCCCACCCAGCAGAATTCTTAGTCCCCACAAGGGAGCCCCACCTGGCTTCAAGTAGGTCACCTGGCAGCTCAGGACTACACTTCAGGGCTGGCAGCCCCCAACACAGGAACGGGCAACTGCCCATCTTCCCGCCTTGCTCAGTTCTAGCCCAGAGGTAAGGGAAAGTGTCTGCTGAGGCTACAGGGGTGGTGGGTGGCACAGCTGTTGTTTCCGAGGAGCAGCTTCCACCGCATGTTTGACCCCGGCCTAGAGCCTGGAACTTCCATCTCAGTCTAGAGCTCAGGTACTTGGCCCAGCTCTAGCCTCCGAGGTCACCAGCCCCCAGCTTCCTTGTCATGCCTGAACCCCTGCTGGGAGCAGGCAGCTGGAGGTGAGGACATGCCACCATACTTTCAGCTTGCACCATCCTAATGCCCTCTCTCTGCCCCAGGCCTCCCCTGTGCCCACTCACCCCTCAGGTTGCATAGCCTAGGTCTGCACTGGGGGGCCTCTGCTCCCTCCTAGGCCGGGACAACCCTGTAGGGTGAAGCGGGGCAGTTTTCAGAGCAGCTCCAGGCGGGTCTTGCTGGCTGGCCCCTGGCGGCCACAACTCATGCCTGCTTCCTCACCAGCAGCACCCAGGGCAATATGGCAGCTACCACCGCCACCACGGCGATGAGGGTGATGAGAAGCAGGGCGCGGGAACGGCAGCAAAATGACCGGTTAGAGCTGGGTGCCGGTGACACCTCAGAGAGCTCTGCCAGGCTGCGCTGCGGCAGGACACTGTCCTGCTCCCCCAGGGGCATCCCATGGCGGCTAATTATGAATATCTGAGGCTCCCGGGCCAGGCTGGGCAGTGAGTCCAAGGGGAGCTGGGTGCTCTGACTCAGGGATGTTCTCCAGACAGGCTGTTGTGATGTAGCCAGGGGGTTTGTATGGCCCAGGGTGTTCATCGGTGGCCCAGAGGGCAGGCCCATAGGCACAGCCAGGGTCTGGGAGCTCTTGTCCAGCATGGAGGGCCAGCGGGAGCTCTTCTTGCTGAGGAAGGTGACATAGCGGCAGATGGGGCAGACAATGGTCCTCTGGACCTGCCCATCCACGCGGGTGGAGAGTAGGTACTTGACAAGGCAGTCATGGCAGAAGACATGGCCACAGCTCAGTGTCCGGCTGGCGCCCTCCAGATCACGGAACTTCTCATAGCACACGGGGCACTCGCTGCCTGCGCTGTCCTTACTCTCCCCTTCTGACATCATTGCTGTGGGGAGGCAGGGCCTTAGCTGTGGGTGGGAAAAGCTGTGAGCATTAGTGCCGGTTCTCCTTTGCTCAGTGTATGACAGCACCTGGGCTTGTCATACCCCCCTGCTTCCACTGCCTCCCTCTTCCCTTCTCCTTGGCTCCTGTCCTCTTTTTTCCTCTCTCTGCTTCCCTCTTCTGCTGCCGCTCCTCCTCCTCAGTGGCCTACCTGAACTAACCAAGACCCAGAGCCTAAGACCCTTAGGAAGAGATGAGGGGGCCTTCTGGAAGGGGGGAGTGGGAGACAGGCAATGAGAGACCGCAGCCCAGCCACACTGACTCTGGAAGGAAGTGCGTGGAGCGTGATGAATGTGTAGCTTCCCCGATACCTCACCTCAGCCGTGACATGATCTACATACACATGGTGAGGTCACCACCTCACCTCTTCCTGCTTCCTTGAAGGAAGTGAAGGCGGGCAGACCCAGTTCCAGGGGGGAAGCAGGTGGCTGAGTAGAGGCTCCTCCAGCCTCAGTCCAGGCCCCAGTGTGGGCCTGTGCCCTGAGTGGCTGTTTCCCAGACAAGCCTCTGCTGTTCCCCAGTCTCCCTGCATAGGGGTTACCTGATCCATTGGTTCGTATCCAGCCATTGGCTGCATGCCTCTGTGCTGTGTGGTTGTAAAGCAAGGATGGTTTGGAAATAAAGCACAAAACCTACACATCCAAATGCCTGCTGGCCCTCTTCATAGTCACCTCAGGGAGCTGTAGGCTCATTCTCCACCCGCCGACACTCAGTCATTCTTCAGAGTCTTCTAAGAGGGCTGCCTGAGAACCTTCTTATTAATCTCAGTGAAGACAGATTTTTATCCTTGGAGTCTATGTCTGGCGTTGTGAAATGGCCAAAAGTCCTTGGGAGCCAAGCCTGGTGGGAAAGTAAATGAATGCTCAAGTGGCATGATATGGTTTCAAATCAAAGACATGGAGTCACCATGAAGTTACAATGTGGGTTTTAAACATTATCTGAGCCCTGGCTGGGTAGCTTAGCTGGTTAGAACATCATCTTGGTATACCAGGGTGGCAGGTTTGATCCCTGGTCAGGACACATACAAGGATTAGCCAATGAATGTATAAATTAAGTGGAACAACAAATTGATGTTTCTCTCTTTCTCTGCCTCCTTCTCTCTAAAATCAATCAATAAAATTTTAAAAATATCTGAGAGGAAAGGAGAAGTTCCAAAATGTTCTCATCAAAGGCAGAATTGCTGGATTAAGGACTCAGCTTCCCAAGATGATGACCTTAAAGGGAAATACCCATTCGGGCATGTGGTGAGGCCCAAGTAGCCTCATTTAAAAGTCCCTGATGTCACAACTGTGTAGTCTAAACTCAGCAAGAACAGCCCCTTTAGAGATGTGTTATAGTCACCTGATAAATTCTTTCATCAGTGCTAAAAGACCCGTGGACACGCTGACAAATAGAACTGAGAGATGACCTAATGAGAACAAGATAAGTTAATAGGAGGACAACTATAATTTGTCAAATCACAAATCTTTTGGGATTTCTCCCCTCTCTTGGCTTGGTTCCAAATCAGTTTTACCAATTTGAAGATGTCCCATAACTAAGAAGGATCAAAAAATATGTAAAGTTAATTTCTTTCAAAAAGCCTGATGAAATTTGGGGTACAGGGTCTGGGGCCCTGCAGGCAGCACCCAAACCTTTGCAGTGGTTTTCAGGCTTTAGTGACAGAGGTTGTCAGTGTGACCCCAGCTAGCGTCTGGGGTTGCAGCTGCTCAGACCCTGGAGCTGGGTTCAATTCCTTGATATGCCCGTCACTGTCCATAAAATCTCAGGCAAGTTGTGCAACCCTAACTGAGCCTTGGTTTTCCATCTGTAAGATGGGGTTGATAATAATACTACCTCTCTCTCAGAGTTGTTCAGAGTATTAAGTGAGCCAGTGTGAGCAGAGAGTCTGGAGCAAATAAAAGATAGGGGTTCAACAACAGGTGGTGTCATTGCTGAGGCGGGCCAAGCCCTCTCCCCTCCCAGCACCTGCCTCCCCTTCCTCCCCTCTTCTCCGCAGATGGTCCTCATTATGTAGATGACTAAAAAATTGCACATCCCTCCCAGAGGTTGGCCTCCTTCAAATTAGAATAACTGAGCAAGATGACACTATAGCAGGTAGGAGATGGACAATAGATAAAAATTACAATGGTGGCACCAGCGTTAGTCACTTTGTTTCACGATGTCTATAAATGTCTAAACAAAACAAGGTATTCTCAGAAAGACCATGATTTTATTTAGCCAACCAACTGCCAACCTGTCCTCCTGTGTTTCATAACCCCCCACAGACATGTGGTGGTAATTCATTCCATCCAACCATCCACGTATCATTCATTCATCCATATTCATCCATCCTTCTTTCTATTCATCCATCTATCCATGCATACACATACCCAATTATTCAACAAAAATACCTGCTACATGCTAGGTATTGAGCTGGGCATTGGAAATAAGCACAATGAAGAAAGCCCTTCACGAGGCCCTGGCTGTTGTGGTTTAGTGTGTTGAGTGCTGGCCTGTAAACCAAAGGGTCACTGGTTCTGTTCCCAGTCAGGGCACATGCCTGGGTTGCAGGACAGGTCTCCAGTGGGGGGCGTGTGAGAGGCAACCACACATTGATGTTTCTCTCCCTCTCTTTCTTCCTCTTTTCCCCTCTCTCTAAAAATAGATAAATAAAATATATATTTTTAAAAAGTCCTTCATGAAACTTTGGAGCCTAGTGGACGTTTATAAATTTTCTTGAAAAAGAGTTTTGTTGTTTTAAAGGAGGAATGACGATCAATAGCTTCAGTTATTTGGGTAACTGAGGGGTAGATATCAAGACGGGCAGAGAATGAAAGCATAGGTGAGTGGATGCTATGGGAAGAAAGGACTTTTGATGTCATTTAGTTAAATCTAATTTCATAGGTGAGCAGATCCAGGTCCAGAGAGGAGGCAGTGACTCATCTGAGATCATGCGGGGAGGTGATGGGGAGGGAGATGGCAGGGAAGAAAGAGGGAGAAGATTCCATAGGTGACATGCGGAGAATTATTAGACTCAATTAATAGATTGGGTGAATAGATATTAGCCAAGTCAGGAAGCACTACCTTCCTTGGGATGGGCAGGGTGAGCAGGGGAGGGAGAAAAGACTCTATTTTTCATGTGAGTTTTTAAAAGTAAAAGGGATTCACGGGACACAAAAGACACCCCAGGTCCCACAGATGGCCTCTCTGGGCTGTCCTTTCTCCTCCCTCTGATTCAGGAGAGGCATGTCACTCATGCCTGGACAATGCCGCCCTCCTTCCCCACCTTCTTCTCACCTCCCTTTCTCAGTCTTTCCCTGACCTCTCCCTCCTTGTGTCCCTCCCTTTCTCTTAATTCCACTTCATTCTTTATTCTTGAATTTCTCTTATAGGCTCGATTCTGTCTCCGGTGCTGGGGTGGAGGAGAGGGCAGCAGAAGAAATGTGAGGAACATGATCTGGTTTGGGCACAAACTAGCTCAATAACAACGCAAGACATTATTGCCAGAAGGCACTCCCAATGGTGCATTAGGAGACCATGGGGAGAGAAGGGCTGGAAAGTCTTCCTAGGTGAGGCGGGACCAGTGTCAGCTAATAATAAATAATTACAGCAGCCACTATTTATTGAACACTAATTATGTGCTTGGCATTTTGCATTCCTTCCTCATTTAATCCTGACCACTCTGGGAGGTAGGTATTATCTTCATTTTACAGATGAAGGAAGTGAGGCTCAGGGCTTAAGTGAAGGAATTTGTTCAAAGTCACACAGCAGACCCAGGATGGGCAGCCCATGCTGTGTACTGCTGCCTCCAGCAAGGGTTCAGATGCACCCCTAGCAAGGACTTGACATAGCAGAATAGGAGGTCCCAGCCCTCACACCCCTACAGAAACACTGACTTAACAAATACCCGTAGATGGAAATACCTCACCAGAGCTCCAGAATCCAGTTGTACACATTATACATGTTCAGTTTTTTGTTTGTCAGTCATACCTCACTCAATAAAATGGTTTTAAAAAAAGGAAGAGATGAAGAAACATCATTGGAAAAATGACTACCCAAAGTTCCCTTCTCAGAGTGACTCTAAACAGAGCTATCACTCCAGCGACCTGTGAGGCAGCGGAGGACAAGGTTTGGCCCAAGGGGAGCTGGCCCACAGGAGCTGAACTCACGAAACCCCCTTGCCCAGTTTCACCCACAGCAGAAGCCCATTATGAGGACCGGTTGGGGTGTCCTCAGCCCAGGCACCCCCTTCCTTCCCACCTTGGGACAGAAAGGCTGTGAGGCAGAGGCTCTGTAGTTTCAGCTGTGGCCACTCTCCCACCCCACGATACTACGCAAATACACACACATACACACACCCCTGCATCTCTCCAGCTTCAGTCCAGAACCTTGCCAACCTCTGCCTGGATCCTGCTCCTTTCCCACCCCCAGCTGGGTCCCCAGACTCACTTTGGCTGAGGTCAGGAAGAGCAGTATCCACCTCTCCACCCAGGGCCTCTTTAGGGCAGATCTGAGCCACCCAGAGGTGCTGGGCATACAGCACGCCCTCCTGCTGGTGTTAGTGTGACAGCTGCCGCCTAGACATTTCCTAATGAGTGAGCAAGTTGGGAGGACAGCGCCAGGAAGTGAATGTCGCCTAACTCGTTTGAGGCCAGGAGGCTTTTGGCATTGCCCAGGGGTTTGGCAGCTGCTGGAGTCAGGTGATCTTGATGGGGCTGCTAAGAGAGGAGACCCTGGCCCAAAGAGGAGCCCAGAAACGTGAGTGCTTCATTGGAAGCACCCACATCTGTGAGACAGGCAGAGGGTCTCACAAGGAGGCAGTGACCCAAGACCACTTTGACTAAGGCTCCCCAGAGATGGGTCTTCCCATCCCAACGGTGATTCTCCCCCACCCCGCTGCTCCCCTGCCATGCCCAGGGTGAAGGAGTCAGATCAACCTCAGGAGGACTAACTATGATGCCCAAAGTCATACACAGATATGCAGTGATGTGCTTATGTGTATTTGTTGTTCATCAGATGCTCAAAGGGGCTCAGAGCTCCAGAAGATCAGACACCACTGGGCTAAAGCATGAGGCAGAGTCAAAACAACGAATTAGAAACTCACACCTGCATGGCAAGGAGCACCTGATATCATGTGAAACAAGTTTCAAAACAGTCTGTATAATGTGGTGCTATTTATAGAAAAGATAATAACGAATGATCACTTTTTAGAGAAAAGTCTGGGAGAAGACACATTAAACTTGATAGTGGTTATCTCTGGAAAGATATTCTAATTTAAACATTCCTGTGACATTTGACTTTTCATCCTGAATGTGTGTTTCTTTCATGATCAGAATAGAGCAGTCAACAATGAGGCAGGTGGCAAATTCAGGACTGGAAACCATTCTGGGGAATTCTCTCAGTCCTCTGAAGACTGGAGGCTAAGTTGGCAAGAAATTGTTTTTCTTCTGGAAAGAAAAAGGAGTTTCCTGGATCCAAAGCATAGCCAGACATGTGTGTGACCCCATAGGGTGGCCCAGGATGGCTCCTCCCCGACCTGGCCAACCAGGGCTGCCTTGAGGCTGGTAGGAAAGGACAGTCAGGGCAGTGCACCCATGTCCACCAAAAGGGACATAGAGATGGCTGGGTTATGACCGTCTCTCATGCTCTTTCCCCAGAAGCTGAATATGAGAAATCCCAGACTGTTCTAGATCTAACAGATAGAAATGCAGACTGCCTAGGTAAATTCGCAAATATTTCAGGTAAAACACAAATAACTTTTAGTGTAAGTATGTTCAACACAATATTTGGGACCTAATTATACTAAAAAATATCTATTGTGCTATCTAAAACTGAAATATCTCCGGGTATCCTATATTCATTTTGCTCCTCTAGTCCCATAGGGCCTCCCACATTTCTCGCTTCCATCAGCACCACAGCCCTTTGACAGCAGGGCTCATGACTCCGCTGGGGCTCCCCGGGGGTCCCTGAAAAGGAGTCCCACGTACTCTGCATCAACGTCCCAGGTGCCCCCTGGGTGGAGGACTGAGCCCGGCTGGACTGTCTTTAGACTCAGACTAGTATGAAATTCCTGAGGCCCCCAAATCTTTTCAACTAGCCCTGCCATGAAGCTTAACTTTGAAGATTACCTTGAATATATAAATTTTTATTATTATAGTCTGTCATGGTTTTGTGTTTTTTTTTGTTTTTTAACTATTTACTTTTTTTTATTGATTATGCTGTTACAGTTGTTCTATTCCCCCTTTATTCCCCTCCACCCTACCCCCCATCCCCACCATCACCCCCCTTTAGTTTATGACCATGTGTCTCAAGTCCTTTAGATTCTATATTTCCCATGCTATTCTTGCCCCCCCATCTATTTTCTATCTACTGTCTATGCTACTTATTTTCTGTACCTTCTCCCCCCTTCTCCTCCTCCCACTCCCCTGTTGCTAACCCTCCTCGAGATCTTCATTTCTATGTTTCCACTCCTGATCTAGCTGTCCTTTTAGTTTGCTTTCGTTTTAGGTGTGGTTGTTAATAACTGTGAGTTGGCTGTCCTTTCACTGTTCATGTTTCTTTAACTTCTTTTTCTTAGATAAGTCCCTTTAACATTTCATATAATAAGGGCTTGGTGATGATGAACTCCTTGAATTTGATCTTATCTGAGAAGCACCTTATCTGTCCTTCCATTTTAAATGAAAGTTTTGCTGGATAGAGCAATCTTGGTTGTAGGTCTTTAGATTTCATGACTTGGAATACCTCTTTCCAGCCCCTTCTTGCCTGTAAGGTCTCTTTTGAGAAATCCGCTGACAGTCTGATGGGGACTCCTTTGTAGGTGACTGTCCCCTTAGCTCTTGCTGCTTCTAGGATTCTCTCCTTCATTTTAATCTTGGCTAATGTAATTATGATGTGCCTTGGTGTGTTCCTTCTTGGGTCCAACTTCTTTGGTACTCTCTGAGCTTCCTGGATTTCCTGGAAGTCTATTTCCCTTTGCCATATTGGGGAAATTCTCCTTTATTATTTGTTCAAATAAGTTTTCCACTGGTGGCTGTGCCTTTTCCCCTTCTGGTACCCCTATAATTCGGATGTTGGAGCGTTTAAAGATGTCCTGGAGGTTCCTAAGACTCTCCTCATTTCTTTGAATTCTTGCTTCTTGACTCTTTTCTGTTTGGCCATTATTTGCTTTCTTCTGGTCCACTCCATTGATTTGAGTCCCAGTTTCCTTTTCATTGCTATTGGTGTCCTGTGCAATTCCATTCATTTCAATGAGTTTCGCCTTCATATATTTGTCTAATTTGTCCGTATAATCAACCAGTTCTGTGAGGATCCTGATCACCAATTTTTTAAACTGTGCGTCTGTGAGTTTTGCTATTTCTTCATCGCTTAGATTTATTTCTGGGGCTCTGAGATCCTCCTGCGCCATTCTTGGTCTGTTCGGGCCCTTTAAGTGTGAGAAGCTGCGGCTTGGATTCCCAGGTCGCTGGGTTGTGACGCTGTATGTGGGGGCGTGGCCAGAGCGGGGAAATGGGGACCCCCTCTGCAGCTTCTCACAGCTGGGTGCGGCGGAGCAGTGCCTTAGGTGGTTCACCTGGGCCGGGCCACTCAGAGTCGCTGGGTTATGACGCTGTATGTGGAGGTGGGGTCAGAGCAGGGAAATGGCGGCGCCCTCCACTGCCGCTTGCCGTGGGGACCTGCCGGCCTGGTCCAACCGCCCACTTCTTCGCCTGTCCACCCTCGCACAAATGTGCGACCTCAGTCAACACGCAGCCCCGGCCCGGCTGTCTCCCCCGAGGTTGCTCGCTGGGTCGCTCACTAGGTCTGACCCTGCGTCTGGATTCCGCGGGCCTGAGTGTGTCTGGCCGAGTCCTCCTGTGCAACCCTGCTCCGCCAGCCGCTGGTTTCGCCCCTTACCGGTCAGGCTGAAGAATTTGTTGTTAACGGACTTCCGAAAAGTTCAATTTTCCGTGTTCTGGCTGAGTTTTCTGTTGCTAATATTTAGTTTTCTCTAATCTTGGTTGTGGGAGAAGGCACGGCACATCCACCTATGCCTCCATCTTGGCGGAAGTCCGTCGGTTTTGTGTTTTAAAATAAGAATTTCCCCTTTAAAAATTGTATATACATGTGCATATCTATATGTATACACACACATACAAACCTAGCTGAGGGAGTAAATACATCAGCTAGAGAAATCTTAGCTTGACTTTATCAGTTGGGTCTAATCATCCAATAAGGTCCTGAGAGAGGGGGACATAGCATAGGGCTGTTAAGTTTTGGCAGGCAGCAGGGCATTTGTTATCAGGAAGGTTGACAGCATACTCATATTACAGAAGGATCTACATGATAGGATTTGGTAGTAAGGATCTCTGGGAAATTGAGGTCAGCACATGAGCATTCAGAGGTGCTGTGTGTGTTCATATAAAGAGAAATTGCCATGTACCTCTGGGTACGTTACTGAATCCCTTTGTGCCTCAGTTGCTGCATCTGAAAAGTGGGGATAATAATGGAGACCATTTTGGTGTATAGGATTGTGACAATTAAATGAATGGTTGTAAATAATGTTTCTGGAACCACACCTCTCATGCATTAAGATCTCCCTCTACCATCATCATCATCATCATTGCTGTTTTTGTAGTCCTCCTCCTCATCATCATGACAAAGAAAGCTGAAGAGAGGCACTTGGACTTGCATACCTCTTACTCTGAGGGGCCTGGCCAATCAATCTGGTCCTGGTGTTAGCTTGCTGAATAAGGTGTCTGTTGCCAATCCCACCACCCATTTTACAGCGTCCTGTCCTTGTCAGCAGAGAGGACAAACGCAGTCTGAATGATGCAAGACTAGTTTTCAGCTTAGGGAGGATTGGGACCTGTGGCCTCTGATCCATGCAGGCCGTGTTGGAGACTTGTGTCCTGTTCTGGGGTCACATTAGTGGTTGCGTTGCCAAAACACTGAAGCATGTCCTGCACCTAAAGCCAACCAGGATGGGCATGAATCTGGAGACCATTTGGGGTCCGTACGATAGACCTTCTCTGGAGAGGCCTCTCTGATGCAGGGAGCTGTTGGACAAGGGGAGAATCAGGCTGAGGCTGACTGACCACCAGCGGACTGCAGGCCTGGTTTCTGCATGGGATGAATGGCTGGACCAGGACGAAAGTTTCCAAATACCATGACCACCCGGAGAGCTGATAATAAGATACAGACTTCAGGCCCTGTCTCAGGTCTTAGCAGGTCGTGGGAGAAGCCTAAGAAATGTTATTTATTTATTATATTTTTAAAATATATTTTATCAATCATGCTGTTACAATTGTTCCTTTTGCTGGCCCCCATTTACTCCCCTCTGCAATGCACCCCGCTCCCACCCCCATTCCCCTCATCTTGGTTCCTGTCCATGGGTTGTACATATAAGTTCTTTGGCTTCTCTATTTCCTATACTATTCTTAACTTCTCCCTATTTTTTTAAAAGATTTTATTTATTTATTTATCTTTAGAGGGGAAGGGAAGGAGAGAGAGAGA